GACTAACCTATCTCTAACCTAGTGTTATCATATAATGATGGCCCTATGTTAAGGATGAAAAGGGAAATCTCTACCCTATTTTAGTATACATGGTTTGGAGCCTAAGGTCTAACTTTCATTTGAAGGGAACAAGCACGTCCTAAGGGAACATGGTATGGAAAATGAGTAAACAAGCAAGCTCGAAAGAGAACATACATAAAATGGTAAAGAAAAGAAGCGAAATGCTTTAGCCAAGGGGAGCGTGTCACCCGAGACAAACAAGCGGGAGTAGGATGTAAAACAAAAATGTGATGTCCAAAGCGACCGAACACCTAACTAAGATATAGGAGATTGAGGTAGGCGACAGAAGGCAATATGAATGATCACGGAGTGTCGGCATCGGCCAATGCGAACTCCTGACAAAGTGTGGGGGTTTGATTACAAAACCCTTCCCAACATGACCGGCTCGATACATAAGATATGCCTGACTCCAAAGCATCAATGTACAATGTGAGTTAAGGATGACATGGACTAGAATGTGCGGGGGTCGATTACGGACCCTCCCCACTTGCCTCCTTTTGAGGACTTATCACTTGTAATATAATGCGAACATAAATGTAAACACACGTGTGGAATACCTACTTCAATGGTAGGATTTTAAACAAACACAAATAACATAGGAAAAGCTTTGCCTGCTACAGAACTTCAAACAGATACTTTGATCGCACACTCTTTATTTCCTGCTTCCTACTTCACATGATTTCTAGAAAGCGATAAATGCGGAAAGAAAAATTGGAAGCAGTATAATACCAAACGAACAATAATGTCCACAAAAAGTGCAACCAAAGCAAAGAAATTTGGAATACTTCACGCAAGCTGGCATCAATAAACAAACAGTCGGAGATCGAATGTTCAGAAATAATGTCGAACCATCATTGATGTGAAAATAAATCACAATCAGAAACTTAACATGTTTGCATATCAAACAATGAACCTGCATAAGACTCAACTCAACAAGCAAAGGTGAATCACAGGTCTCAAGTAATCGAAAAAATTAGGAATTAATTTCCTAAAATAAAATAAGAAGCCTAAAAATTTATTGATTATGTAGTTTATTATCTAAAAAAAGATTAAGCAAAATTTCTAAAATCTACATTTTTTATTGTTTTATTATAAAAAAAAATTATTAAGAAAATTGCAAGAAATTTAAACTAAAAGAAAATCTTTAAAAAGCAAGTAAGAAGTTAAAAAAAAGTCAGAGGGTAGAAATCTGGACGACAAGGGTATGAATCAAATAAAAAAACTTAGGCACTGTAGGCCCAGCCCATTAGAGTCTAGAAAAACTACTTTTTTGTTTCAATTTCTTCATGTTTCACAAAAAAACATCTGATGGACTTAGGGGAGTTTCAATCCTGGTGCAGCCTAACAAACACCAAACCAGATTTTTTTACAAGTAATATCAGGATTTTTTACAAAGAAAAAATAGAAAATTACATCGTGGGCCTAATGAGAATGTGACTCGGTCCAATGGTTGTTTTTTATTAATCTTCCCAAGCTGCCTCCAAAAACCGTATGGGCTTAATGATTTTGGTCCGCTAAGAGCATACCAAGATCCATCCAACCTCTCTCCAACATTATCAATAATAGGAATTAACAAAAAAACAAGAAACCAATAAATAAATGGCATGATTATGTGCCTAGGGTTCCCAAATCGTGTGACGGTTCAAGTTCCCGAATTACAATTGCTTCTTCTTCGTTTTCACCCTCTCAACGATGTTGGAATCTCAAATTGTCGAAGATTTATGGCTCGCGGATTCAACATCATCTCATTGTTTCTCCTCATCATCCCTTGCCCCGTCAGTCCTTTTCTCCTTCAATTCAACTCCACGTTTCGTTTTCTCCGATCAATTGATACGTCGTGCTTTCATTCACCTCTCAATTGTTTCGAGCATCGTGTATCACATTGCAGATTCAAACTCAGCTTCATATATTCACGCTTGTTTAAAAAAGTGAAAATGCCTAATCTAACTAGATCTGAATGCCAACACGAATGTTACATCATAATATAGAATGATGCCAAGATGAAGGAAACGTTTACCTACCGGAGTAGCTCCGGTGACTTATTGAAGATGGAGAAGGAGAAGAGAAATCAGTGAATCTTGCGTACTCAGGTATGAACTGAACACCTTTTAATTCTTCTGTATAATTTCTTCTCCTTTCGATTTTCCACACTTATGCATACTACAACATTTTCTGATAAATCCGTGATGTGGTTCCTTGATGATTAGAGGTGATGATGAATTGCTATTGATTGCTACATGTTGATGCAGAGAATGATGAAACGATGTATTGCGATAACTTTGATGATGATTGAAGATTTGATGATGCTGAAACACTTTGATGTTGATCTAGGAAGAGATTGACTATTACAAATTATTGAAGCTTTGAGGTATCATGAATGAAATATGGTTATGCAGAATTGATGACAATGATGATGGAGGATCAAGGAAGGTGCAGAAGAAGTTTCAGAGAAGAAGGAATCGATGATTGAAGGCTGAAGATGAAGATGGATCCGAGGGAGAGAGGTTACCTCCAGAGTTGAAAAGGTGAGTCCTCTCTTTTTGTGAATTTTCTATTATGAATCCTATCCTCTCTCCTTATTCTGATTTCTGTTATATCCCTTTCCTTCCAATTCGGTTATGATTCTGTTAGAGTTTGTTGAGTCAGTTAGGAAAATTTGGAATTCTGTTTTAATGAATGAAAACCGGTTAGGGGTTAGAGTTTGTTGTAGGGTTAAGCAGTTAGAAAAGAGTTAGGAGGTTAGAGGGATTTTATTAAATTATGTTAGTTCAGTTAGCTATTGAATCTGTTAGCTGAAAGTTAGTTAGGATTGGCAGAAATCATAGTCGTTAGATCTCAATTTTTGTTGGGAGAATGAGTGGTTAGGATCCAACTTTGAGAAAGTCTTGTTCTCCATCACTTGTTGAGCTATTATTATTTTTTCACGATTTTCTGATATGAGTTATTTTCTCCTTTCTAATTGTTCTGACTTATTCTTTTTTGATATGCTCCTCATTCTTCTGAATTTTCTTTCCTTGTTTTTCTGTCCAGAGCTTCTACCTCCGATTTGATATTCTGCTCCGACTTTTCTGTTGAAGCTTGATTTATGTTTGAATTTTCTATTCATGGACTTTTTTATTTATAAAGTGCAGGGTTTGAATTGATTTTTGAATTTCTAATATGAACTGGTTTCTTGGTTATGTAGGGTTGTTTTATAGGAATTTTCTGTTTTATGCTAAATTGATTTTCCATTTGATTTTGAACCATTATTTTCTTGAATTTTCTGAACTGATTCTACATTGATGCATGGCTGCATAGGTTCTGAAAGAGGCATGTAAGATTTTATGTACAAAAGTTGGCTCGATAATTTTATAGAGATAAAGGCATGGTGTATTTGAAGTTTATACATGACAAATTTGAAGGACGCGGAGGCTTGTCGTGGAAGAATATGAGGCATGAAGATATAGGATTAGAACTAGGCTTAGAATCTTGAATTTGTGTAATGTGATTTTGAACTTGAAGAGTCTTTATAATAGTAAGGTTTTTCCTTGATTTTGAAGAAATTGTAACTTTGTAAATTATTAAGTTCAAATGATGTATGGATCCTCCTCACTTTTTGTTCATGTAGCTTATAGTCACTACAAGAAAATTAGTGTTTAACGACACAAAAATTGCGACAGTTATGTGATAACTGTCGTAACTGACATATAGAGACAGTGTTTACGACAGTTGACACCAACCGTCCCTAATATTTATTTTGCGACGGTATATTTAACCATCATAATATTATTATTACGACGGTAAAACAACCGTCGGCCTCCATTTAACACTTTTAACATTGATTTTTCACCAACAACTAGTCACGACGGTAAAATTAACCGTCCTAAAAGGCATATCACGACGGTAAAGCACCCGTCGCACCCTTAAACCTTTCACGACGGTAAAATTATCCGTCCTAAAATTCATTTCACGACGGTAAAACAACCGTCGCACCCAAAACCTTTAAAAATTCTCATGGGCACGACGGTAAAACACCCGTCGCAATAAAAAAGTTAAAAAGTTAAAAAGTTAAAACACCCCAAACCTTTATTGTAATCTGTAGACGAGGATCCCACCTTACAAGCCAATCGGCGAGGGAACCCATTTCCTCATCCCATGGGTTCAAAAACCCTACACCTTCGATATCAAAACCCGCCCCCATACTTTCTCATCAATATCCGGCACCAAAGATCTTCAAATGGTTAACCTAACTCTCCGAGTCCTCTCTCGTCCCGACACCGCGAAACTCCCTGTCATCGTTCAAAACCTCGGTCTCGAATACGACGAGAAAGTCCTCCCTTCGATCGGTAACGAAGTTCTTCACTTGGTTTGTTGGGATTGCTATGGCTGAGATATGTTCATCTTTCCCGGTTTGTCTCTTCTCATAAAGTTTATGCATGTACCAGTGAATTAGTGAATAATTTACATAACTAATTTTCAATTTTGATTCAATCTATAACAGACAACTGGTTCTCTAAATTAACCTTTTTCGTGTTGATTTCTTTACCCAAAACCCCTGAATTTCATGACCCATTTTGATTTTCTCGTTTTTGTTTTTATTTTCGATTTTGTTTGGTTATTTGCTAGGTTTATCATGTTTAAGGTGATCAAAGTACTTGACTTTCGCACCCTTGTAATATATATGATTAACCTGATTGGTGCTTTTGTTTCTCCAATTTTTGTAACCCTATTAATTTCATATTATATATTTCAGGAATGACAAAAGAAGTAAAAAAAAATCCTTTTTTTTAGGCATGAACTGTTGTTTTAGTTCTGGTTGCAAATTGCAATATTCATGAACAACAACTGTACACCAATTAACAAAATGTTGTCACAATGCCGATTGTTGCAGTTCTCTTTTTGATTCAGTTTTGTTTTTCAGGTTTGAGAGGATAACTTAGTTTGGTTTATCACCAACTTCCATGCCCAGGATGGACAATTGTAAAGATTTTCTAAGTTGGGTCGACCCTGATACGTCTCTCAATATTTTCAAGTGTCTGGATGATCCAGCAGATCTAGCCCGCGTCAGTTGTGTTTCACGATCTTGGAGAGGCTTTGGTGAGTTATAGACGTTTAGTTGTATTTTATTTTTATATTTTAATGCCTCAGTCTCAAGAGGAGTTCAAGTTTAGATTCTCCGTGGCATACATTTTACGTTTCATTTTATTTCTGATCTGTTTGTCCTTTTAGAATTGTGTTCTTTGCTATATTTTGAGTATCCAACCTCATATTGCTCACATGTTTACAACTTAAAGATCCTATTTTGATGTTCTGGTTTTTGCAGTGGTTGCAAACGGCCTTTCTAAGCAGTTGTGCTTGAGAATGTTTCCTTAATTATCAAGAGTTGCTTGTGTTGTTGAACTAAACCAGGACGGAGTGAAGGAACACTCAGAGGTTGGATCTAGCCAATCTAATGAATGTCTAGCTCTATGGAAAGATCATAGAGTCTATAGTTATCTTGCTAGATCCTGCTTATCTCCTGTTGCTATGGATTGCATAGATAAGGCAATCAGTGCTTCTAGCACTGATAATTTTCCTCAGGAGAGCATTGTTAATACTCTAGAGGAAAGAGACAACATTGCTGGTAGATTTTCCTATTGGTCGAGTAGCGGACAAAGCAATCCCAATGTGCCTGAGACATTAACATACCAGTTGGCTTCTCAAATATGTGTTATTACAGAAATCAATATTCAGCCTTTCCAAGGTGATGTTTGAAATCTTCATAAACTATGCGCTCGACTCATTTATTTTAAATTTTTATGTTTTTTTGCTAACAATTTTTTTGTTAACTGACCAGCTCACTTTCAGATGGGGTCGCCAATATATTCAGCAAAATCTGTTAGGTTCAAAATGGGTCATCTTAAAGCCTCTTTAGATGATTTAACTGATGCGTTTGTATGGACCTATACATCTCCGGAGTTTCCAATGGCTCAGGTTTGTAACTTCTTATATCTTAGCTTGTTTCTATTTTTGTTTTTCATTGAAAAATTTCCGTTACATTGATTTCCTGATGCATGATATAAAAAACTAGATATGCTTTGTTATTAAAGGATGCCCTGCAATAAATATTATAAGTAAATAGGAAAAGAAATTTGTTGGATGATCAGACTATGTATTAACCTCAAAGTACTAGAATGACCTAGCCTGACGTTGTTGAGAAAAATAAAATGAAAGCTGCACGACAGAATAATAACTTCAATGTTCAAATAATTTTGCTTGAGATAACCCTCTACTCGTGTTTTTAACATTGAGAACTGTTTTCTGAAAACAATTCCTTGTGAACAGGAAAACCGGCTACAGAAGTTCAAGCTTCCAGAACCTGTTCTCTGTATTGGTGGTATCTTGCAGATTGAGCTTTTGGAAAGGGTGCAGAGCCAAGAAATGGACGGCTTACTATACATTTGGTGAGTTTCTTCGTTGACAAACTTGTGTGTTGAGGTTTTATTAGATTTGTTGGCGGAGTAGCCATAGCATCCATCCTAAATAAGTTCACAATAAGCCTTATGCAGTGCTTGGTTTTAACTCCAATTTTATCTTATCGTGTGCATAAATAGTGTTAACTCGAGTACTTCTGAAAAGTGTTGCAATCATACCAATTGTCCCCTCTATTTTGAGGCTAATCCATTTGGCAACATTAGGAATTATTAAAAAAATTAGATTCCTTGGTTTTTTTTATACTTATAAGGCATATGGATGCAATCAAGTTAGGTTTTGTGCATGATTACTTCACCTGAAACCATACCTGCATTAATTTTATATAGCATAAATTTTAAAAAAGGGCTAAATATATTATTTTCTCTTTGAGCACAATGGATACATGTAACTGCCAAATAGTGCAAAACCTAGACATACTGAAACGAAGAAGCATAGTCAACCTCCATTTTCATAACTATACATACTGAATTTAAGTGATTTATCAACTATGGAAAGTTATTAGATGCTCATCTTCTTCTTGTTTGATGTAATTATTCAAGGAGTACAAGGAGTATAAGAATATAGAAGTTAATGAGATGACAACTGTCCTTGATTTGTGATATCTTTAACCAACTCAGTTGGTTTTGGTTAAGTCATTGTTTCTGAAGGATGAGGACAGCTATATAGAGTTCTGAAACTATCTTTCTCTCTCCTTTCTTTCATCTTATAATGAGTTTGTCTGCAGTCTAGATGCTTTGCTGTTCTTTGACCTCTTTCTAACTGAAATTCAGTTATTCCTATCTCGCAACAAAAGATGACAATTTTTGCTTAGCTTTTGTTTTATCTGTATTATGTTTTAGCTTTGTATTAATGTTCCGACATCCTTTAAGTCCTCTAATGTAAGGGTCCCTTGTTGTGCTAATGCAACCACCTAGCGTTCAATGCTTAGACCCTGGTGGATGGTACCACATCTGGCATGCTAATTCTCTGCCCAAAAGATATTTATTTGGGGATTGAGATTTTCCCTCATCCCCCGGTCTTAAGTTTTCTTTTTTATGTTGCATGTCAACGCTGATTATTGCCTTTCTTCTTTATGGAAAATAAAAGTTCTAGTGGGCTGTTTTCTCTAAATGTTATAAAGTAAATATTGTAGATATTTGTGTGAAGTTCCTGACTTAACGATATTTATGAATGCAGTATTTCTCATGTTCAAGCTCTGGGGATTCAGTTGTCCCCAGCATTTTCTGTTGATATTCTCGGGCCCTCTGGAATGTTTGTGTTGAAGAGAGACCGCATGGCTAACTGTCAACCTCCAGAGCCTTCTGAAAATGAGTCTGGAGCAGCATTAACTTTAGCTGATAGAGATTTCCAACAGATTGTGACTATACTGCGGGGACATGTAATGGGAGTAGGAGCTATGGATGGTTGGGAAGAGGAAGAGTATGAAGTTGATGAGGATAATGCCTTCTGATCTTTTTGCTGGAATAAACTGTGACTATCCCCCCTTCTCCAGATTTCACTTATTATCTGCTGATCTCCCTAAATTTTTTACATGCAGAGGATGTTCAAGTCACCAAATTCTGTTTTGAACAAGGCTAGGACCCAATTACTTAACAAGCAGCGGGTATTATCGGAGGTTAGCATTCTTGCTATATCAGTTGCATGATTTCATCTTTTCTGATTTATACATGATACAATTCAAAGTCTAAACATTTGTGAAAACCTTCGTTGAAATATATGTTCAATAAAATATGCCATTTATGAAAACTTTGCTGTCACTTATGCAAACATCTGATAAATTTAGATAGCACAAAATTACTTGTATTTGTCCCTTTGGATTTAGTTTGACTGGATTCCATTTTTGTTGAATCAAACAGGGCAGGAACTTCGGGCATTATTCAGTCAGTATGGGAGATGATGAGACATGAGTTTGAGTGGGAACACAATATGATGTAATGCTTTATTTCAGGATTATATTATTCATTTGGACATGTATTTATCGTGTCCACTGTCGCTTTGTTGTATGGAATTGTTTAACTTAATCGTTTGCGAACTAGATTCGGGTAATATCGTACGATATTACTTTAAAACAATACTCCAGCTGATTCTATTCTTATACAACACCTTTTATACCCCTTTTTGGCTTCTTTTATAAGAATATTTTTGTATTGATGTTAAATATTTTTTATTGAAATTATTTTTACTATATTACAAAGTGATAGAAAATAAAACAAAAAATAATACTATAAATAAATATATTAAAGAAGAAATAATTTAAAGAAAAAAAGAACACAAAAAAAAACTATATTTAAAATTTTTTACATAGAGAATAATTTAAATAAAAAATATATATAATAGAAAAATAAAAAAAAATCAAGACATAAACAAAAGTCATGGCGACAGTACCGAACCGTCGCCATAAACAATTTAATCAATTTCAAAAGATATTCACGACAGTATCGAACCGTCGCCATCAATAATTAAAAGAAACTCAAAAGATAGTCACGATGGTATCAACCCGTCGTAAACATGAACGACAGTTTTTGTAACCGTCGCGAAATAGGTTGGGGACACACACTTCTGCGACGGTAAAGCAACCGTCGTGGAAAGCAAATTGCGACGGTTTTAACCGTCGTAATCTACAAAAATACCTGTCGCAATCTGCCAATTTTCTTGTAGTGAGTGGTGCAAGACCCCTCCTTTACTTGTAAGTTAAATCACCATTTTTCGAAGTCCCTTAAGTGAATTAAATGAAATGCCTTTAATCATAGAAAATCTCTTGTCTCTTATCTTACACCATGGCTCGAAGCCTTAGCAACTTAATCTATAAACTCTTACCTTGATGATCACCAAAGGAATGCCTCGAGACACCCTTAAAGATAAGGATAAGATTTGAAATTTATAGCATCTTATAATGAAACCACCACTAATCTTCTATTGACGCACATCACAAGCTTAAGCATCGAACAACAAGCCCTGATTCTCTTTGAATGGCACAATAATGAAGAATGAACTTGAGAAGTCGAGGAACACAACCCTGGTTCAAAGACATTTTTTTTATTGAATACATGATGAAATTTTAAGCACGCTAATTAAACCCTAACGCAATGGTTCCTTGGAGAATCTTTTTGATTAAGATAACTTCGTAGCTTGAGGAACCCTACCAGTGAAGACATCGATGATGCTCGTCATCCAAAACCCTAGTTATGTACCAAGAATGATGAGAACACCATTATCTTCATAGGGCTTTCAATCATGGCATTCAAATACAGAGAATGGTATCAAGAAATATTTAAAATGATGCTTGTATGAGAGACTTTAAAATCAAGAAAATTTCACCTATTGGACAAGGTCCAATGCCTTCTTCAAGCACTTTCAGTAGGAAAAAATGATCTCTTTAACTTTTATAATGTCTCAGGAACACAATGTAACACTTAGCTTGCTTTGAAATCTTCTGAATATTTCTGACCAAGTCAAGTTACAAGGAGGAATGAGCACATGTTGGGTGGAGCAATGGAGGCGTTCCAGTGATTAAATAATACATGCATAAGTTCATATGCGATGTGTTGACGGTGAATATGTGGTTAGTTTGCAAAAAACTTGCAAGGTTTGAGGGATTCGAAGAAATGGACTTTGGTGCAACAATAGAGGTTTGTAATTTTCTGAGTTTGTGAGTGTTTTAGGGGAGATTTTTGTTTGTTTTTCAATGAGATGAAGTCCTTTATTTATAGAGAAGGTCGAGATAATGAGAGCTTATCATATTTCAAATTTACAAGTTTATGGTTTGGTTCAAATTCAAGTGGAAGTTTCATGAGTCGTGGTGGTTTCAATGTGAGATAATACTTGATTTATAGATAATAGGTTCACTTTTATGCATAATAGAATGTTGCTTCTAAGCATGCTTTATTAGAGAACAAAGTATGAGCTTAAAGCAAGATTTGTTCAGAAATGCAAGCTTTATGGAAATGGAAGTGGTGACTTTGTGCAAAATGCTCTTAAAGTGGTATGATATTTGGACAATGCATCAAACACATTGTGTAATACATTTTAGGGTTTGTGTAAAACAACAATTATGCAAGGATTTAGAAGAAATGTAGGTTGCAAAGCAAGATCACGTTGGATTTGGTTAGGTTTGACATGAATTTGAACCAAAACTTGACTTGTAAAACAACTTCATCATAGCAATTTCAACTCTTCGAAACTTGGTGCTCAAGTAAAATAAATTCATGCTCTTGGAGTCTTTGGAAAGATGGTCACATCCTCAACAACTTTCATATTGATCACTTGGATTGAATCAGATTGGATTAACAAGAAAAATGGTCAACAAAATTGGTCTTTCAAGCTGAAAAAACAAAAATTTCTAAGTATCTTCAAATTCTTCAATTATACCCTTTTTGTAAGTTATCTCAAATTTTGGGATTCCACTTGGTCAAATTCAACTATTGACCATATTTTTATTATATTTGACTTGATAAGTCCATATTTGAGTAAAAATGTAAAAACTCAAAGTTTGACTTTGAGTAGTTGACTTATCATCAAATGAATTTCAAATCTTCAACTTATCAATGAATCATACTTCTTTAGCCAAGTGAGACACATGAGAGGGCCATAAGGAAGCATATGATAACCTTGGATCAAGTTTCAAACTATTAGATCAAGCTTTAGGTCAAAAGTCAATATTTAGTCAACTTTGATAAAAAAAACTCTAATGTTAGGTGCAAATGAATTTGAAAATTGATGAACTTGAAATGATGCACACTTGAACTTGATTATTGATGAAGGGAAATCACTTGATCATTTTGGATGAATGGGGATCTTGAGGTATTGGGGACCCCACCAAACCCTGATCTATTAATCACTTGGCCTCCTTGGTTCAACATCTATCTTGTAAAATAAACAAACAAAACAAAACATTTATTGCAACTTTATGAGGTTAGTGAGACAAAGATGAATGAGATGACCTCTTGATGCTATGTAATGATGTAAAAGGAGGTTGGATCTTAGGTCAAAAACTAGGGTGCAAAAAATAATATCCCATATGCTAACATGGTAAGTTCTTGAATGCATGTTATGGTTTGTACTAGACCCGACATAACAAATATCGTAAGTCTTGTAAGAAGGTACATAGTGAATCCTGGAAAGGCTCACTGACAAGCATTTAAGTGGACTCTAAGGTACATAAATAAACAGAGTCCTAATTTATGGTGGATCATGTGGTGAAGATAGTAAAGCAGTAATCGAATGATATGTTGACTCTGATTATACAGGTTATATGAATTCCAGAAACTCTATTTTGGGATATGTTCACTATGTTTGATACAATAATCAGTTGAAAAGAACCACTTCAAAAGGTTGTTTCCTTATCAACCACTGAAGCAGAGTATATTTCTGTCACTAAAATTGTGAAAGAAGCATTGTGGCTTGAAGGTTTTGCTAAGGAGTTAAAACTTTGAGGTCAAGTTATCACTATTAAATGTGAGTCAAAGTGCAAAACACATGTCGAAGAATTCATCCTATCATGAACGAAGCAAACATATCGACGTGAGGTTGCATTTCGTCATAGGGATAATCGAGCTTGGAGAAATCCAAGTGCTGAAGGTTTCGACATATCACAATACTGCTAATATGATCACCAAGACATTGTTAAGTTGCAAGTTTTTCTCTGTATGTAGTTGATAAAGCTGCATGAAGAAAACTAGTTTGTTTCCTTGATGTTATAGAGTTTGTTCCAAGGTGGAGATTTGTGAGATATTGGATCAAACTCTAATATGGTCGAAGGGGTGGCTTCTGGTCCGACAGGTATTAAGCATGAGGTCGAAGCTTGTTCACATGCTACTGGAGAAATAATGTATGTTGTATTCGAAGTTGTTCTAACATGCATTAGTCGATATTTGTTAGGTTAAGTAGCAATGTCGAATTGGACCTGTTTGTTATACTCAGTTGTTTAAGTTAGCTTGTTCCCTAAGTTAACTTGTAACGGGTCTGTGTGTAAAATCTCATTAGTTAAGTGTGTTAGTTTTCTTATAAATAACATACTAGTCTCTCATCATTGTACAATGCAAATCCTAATTAGGGTGAGAGAAGTTATTTGTTATTTTGTAACACTTGTAATCTTGTTTCAAAAAGAAACTAAAGAATAGTAGTTAATAACCAATTTTTTGTGTTCTTCTTGTTTTCCTCTTTCCTATCATTGCCGTTAAAAAAAATCTATTATACTTTATTATTTCGGGATTGTTTTTCACAACAAATAAAATATTCGATGATTTCACGTCTCTGTGAATTATGTTGGGACTCCAATCATGGTGCAAGTCCTTGTGCTCCTAATACTATTTTTTAGACGTAGATTTCAATGAATTTTTTCTCATTTTCTGTGCTGAAAGTAAAGTAAAATAGCAAAGTCATTTATAAAAAGTTTATAATATGCTTCGGTACTCTTTCCAATGAATTTGATTGGGACAAATATAAATGGGA